TCTTATTGCAAAGAAATTTTATTTTTCCGGCAAAGCAAATCTGACTTTATCCGAGTTCCGCCTTTATTTCAATTACCAGCTTAAATAAACCTGAATGAAGGGGGCTTTGAGCAAAGCTAATCAAGCTAAAGAGAGATAGGTGGTTTATGATTAGGATTTTCAAATGTGACCCTGAAATCGAGTACGACAGCATTCCATTTTCTTTATTGCTTACATATGTGGACTTCCGTTTAGCGAACAACTGAAAGGTTCTGTTTCCCGTGTTTTCAAATGTCCAAATAAATAAAGTACTATTTGGAAAATATTCATAATTCAAATGGGAACAATGTATATTCAATTTTCAATCAGAAAATTGATAATGGGACTATACTTCATGTATTCGATTGGATACTTTAAGAAACGATGTTTTTAAAATAGATTGAAATGGATTGTGCTTTCCAGAAATGGGAATATTGGAGGTACAGAATTGGCAGCTGTTTCTGGTTATAATACAAGAAGGTGCTTGGGGGTTTTGAGAAATCGTGTCTGATTAGTTTAAGATCTGGCTGGAACTTACCTTACTCATATGTAGATGATAGTAGTAGGTAGGTGGTAGGAGGAATTTTTTTTTTTCTTGAAAATAAGATTAGGAATGGATATAGGATTTTATGGATTTAATAATGCCAGGAAAAGTGCTAAATATTCTGAACAATTGGAGGCTATTTATCCAACGCTTTTCGGATTTTTCATTACCTTTTATATTGGCAAGTGCAATAGGGGGTAATACGAATGTTATGTTTCAATTTCTGGACATTAAAAAGTTTGTTTTGCTTAATTTATAGTCAAGATTTCGTTTGGTGAAGACAAAAGCTATTGTTCAGAAGGTGAAAATATTAGCCAATTGTACCTGTAAGTGCCTATCGAAGTGTGTGTTTACTGTAGCTAAAAAGGTGTGTATATTTATGCCCGCAGGTCCAATGACGCGAACAGTCTTTGGCACGCCTGTTGATGTCTGAGGAGAGGTTCCTCTGGCTTGGTTCTTGCCTGCTTCGTATAATTGGCCGGAAAGTAAAACTGACGTTGGCGGGCGGTTGCAAATTAAAGGTGGCTGGTTGGGCTTACTTTTTTAAGGGTGTTTGTTGTTGGCCGGCCGGCCGGCCAACTGGGCAACTGGCAAGCAAACAGAAGCATAAATTGCGCTGCGTGTTTATGGTCAAAACAAATTTAAAGGGAGTTAATGATAAAGGGGAAAGGGAGGCCAGCAGCAGTTTGTATGCCTTCACACACACACACACACACACACACACACACCTGTAAACACACACACACACATGTGCGTATGCGTTTGAGTGTTCATTTCTAGCACGCAATCTTTTGCGCCTGGCAGTTTAGCGAGCGTGAAAAGTTAAGAATAGCAACGACCAACAAAATCAACAACTACAAATACAACAAATACACGCCAAGACAATTTAATTTATTTGCTTACATTAAGACAAATAAAATATGAAAGAAGCAGTACAGACGCAGCAACAACAACGACAAACAAACGACGTATGTTGGCAGCCAACCAAGCAAGAAAAATAACCAACAACAATCAGTCCGTCAGCGTCAGTACGTCAGTCTGTTAGCCAGACAGCCAGCCAGGCAGCGAGCCAGTCAGTCAAAAGTAGCGCAAAGAACGTGAGGTATGTACGGCAACAACAAATAAATCACATTAAAAATTAAACAGACCAAGCGAAGCAGCCACCCGGCAGCAACAACAGCAATTACTGCACGTATTAAAGTAACGGCACAATCCTATATGCCACCTAACGCCTTAAATGCCCAAGAAAATTGTCGATCACTGCACACTGCACTAGGCCAAGGGGACGGCCCATTTAAGGGAGTCTAGTAGTATCACACGATCCCACAACATTTTAGCTTTAAAGTTCTCTACCATAAAGTACAATATAGTTCCAGATTCTGTATCTGAACAATTATGCTAGAAGATGGAAACGTGATCAGGAGGACGAAATGAATCGATAGTGGTGCATGTCTCTCCGTCCGTCCACCTGTTCGACTGTATGAACACCGAGAACTTATGAACCATTACAGCTAGGGCCACCGAACTTGGTATGTACACTTGTCTTATCCATGTGCAGAGCAAGTTTCCTAAAAACCGGACATATATTTATATTAGCATCATAACTTTATTGTTTATGAAGATATACTAAGAATATTTGCTACTTACATACCCTTTATAATCAATCAACTATGTCATATAGCTGCCATGGAAATAATTGGTAGAACAATGTTTATTTTAGTTAAATGGCTTTAACAGGGAAAAGGATAGGCACAGTTTTTCTTGTTAAATTCTTAAATATCATTATTAGTTTTTATTAGGTCTTTGGATGTCTTTAACAACATTTCAACCATGGTGTGGAAAGCTTTATTATATACATATGTATATCTTGTTTGTTTAGACAAGGGTTTCATTCTCACTGCGGACTCTATAATCCGTAAACCATTCTTTTATTGTCACCTCAAAAATGCAGACACTTTGTTTATTTTCAGAGACATTCTGTTTATTGTGTTAAATATTAAAAAATATTCCTGTCTGAATCTATATCTGCTTGGGTGCCGAGCAAATTTTGAACGCAAAAATAAAAATGTAACGAAACTTTGACAAATGGAGATGAATATTTTGCATAGCTTTTTCGATTTTGTTTTGAAGAGAACATTTTTAAAAACGAGTAAATGGCTTAATGCTTTCAATATCTGCGAGCATTTCTTCTTGGCTCCTAAATGATTTTTATTTAATTGCCTTTAATAAAACTAATTTAATTGTCCAGATTGTGGTTTGTTTTAGGTTTTCATAGCTTTTAAAACGAATGAATAAATAACAAGAAAGAATTCCCTATATGACCAGGAGTTTCCAAAATCCAGGCGTTCGTCTGAATATATGTTAATCTCGAAATGCTTCATACTGCCTGTTATATTTTTCGCACAAACCTGATATACCCTTTTCAACCTTCAGATGCAGGGTATAAAAAGAAAACCTTAGAAAACATATCATTTAGTCTAGACAATTCTCCCAAGTACGAATACAGTTTTCATGGGCAGACCTTTTGGTTTGTGATCGTTCCGAATCATCGGCAGAATAAAAATGCAGCTGCATTAATAAGAAATTATTAATTTTCTGTAAAAACAAAATATCTGCATTCAAAGTCGTAAATATTGCAACATATTGAGAATATTTAAAAACCTAAATGTGACACTTTCGATATCTAGTAGGTATGTTATATAAATATCTTGTTTTATGAAAGGCAGACACATACGCGTAGAATAGAGAAAGCAGATTTGAACTAAACTCTAGAAAATCGCTTTGTCCAAGTTTCCTGCAATGCAAACATCTGAGGAATTCCTTAGAGCTGACAGATCTTTTTCCTTTTACTATAAATTTAAATATACAGCCGTGCAAGGCGCAAGTATTTTGGGAATTCAGTGGAGAGCTCAACGCTAAAATCGCCAAATTCTTGAGATTGACGGAAAGGGAAACGCAACTGATAGTGGCAGCTACATATATGTATGTATGTGTAGATATCCCAAATACTTTTTGTACATTATTTTTTGATCACGCGAGCAAGGGTCCCAGAGTTTCTGAGTGACGTGTGCATGTTTATAAACGGAATTCGATTGGAGCGTGTTCGGCCCTCATTACTAAGAGATTAAGTTTAATTTTTAAGATTGCGTCTGCCAAATTGTGGCCTTTAGATCTTTTGATTTTAATTTTATAAAATTGCAATTCGATTTCCACAATTTAAAATGTCAAGTTTCAAGTTATGTCAATTAGATTTGTTGAGAATTTTAACAATTTTAAGAATGACACAATAAAAAGCCATAAGAAACTGAAAGTTGTTATTAATATAAGTTGAAATGAAGAATATATAAAAATACTCCTATTCGCCTTAGCGCTTAAAAAGAAATATTTACCGCTTGGCAACAAGTTAAGTTGTGTTTCCGATTTTCATTGTGCTGTCAAAAATATGAGATTTATGTTCTATTGTTAAAAGACAATTTATGACGACAAATTGAAAAAGATGGTCAGGACAGATTGACTAATACGGTAATTGTCACAGCTTTGGCAGGAAAAACAGACCCTATTGTTAGAAATCGGATGTGCACGAACTCTGATTTAAAATTTCCGACAAACAACAATTATTAGATCTAATTAGCTAGCACTTCTAAATTTTGTAATTAGTTTTTATAATGTAACAACTAATGTAAATAAATAAACATACTTATGTAATTAAACTAACTGTGAATTGCATGCAGTTGTTTTTACATAATGATACAATGATACACTTTAATATATTACTAGTTCACCCAAAAAAACAAAACAAAATGTTAAAGCCTCAATCCCCCAGGCTCCAGAAAAAGTTTACAAAAAAAAAACAAGAATGCAGTTTATTTTGAATTTTTTTGTGAGCAAACAACCAGGTTTGAAGTCGATTGCAAAATTGGTTGGAAAATGTTCAGATTTTTCAAACAAATTTTATATCCCGTTTCCCCCCTTTACCATGCGAATTTTCCGAAATGGCTTTTTAGTGCTCATCTACAAGTATATCATAAAAGACAGCTTGAGTGGAAATTTCAACATCCTAGCGTTTACACTTTTTGACATTCCAGAAAATCGTCATACACCGAAACAAATGAATAGCTGATCGCAGAAATTATTTATTATATACAATACGCTGCTATAACTAATAGTTGACTATAGAAAATCTTTAAATTCTTTTTCTTTTCTTTTTTTGTTTTTGCAAAGTTAGCAACTCCTTAACTGTAAATAAATAAATAATAATCTAGGCGTTGAAAATGTTGGACATATTCAAGTTTTGCGAGCAAAATCAGGCCCTATTGCTAGAAACCAGCAGAGGTACGGACACATAGAGCTGGAAATATATGCATCCCATTGCAATTGCAGTGTGTGAGTGCGAAAGGCACGAATGAAATATATAGAGTGAATGAATTTGTTTACTTACGTCGAGCATCCAAATGAGCATTTCTTCATGGACAATTTCCATGCCGCAACGTGCGCCACTCAACGCATAATCAACGGGATTCTCAGAGTTGCGCTGCTGCTGCTGTTGTTGTTGTTGTTGTGTCGTTGTTATTGCTGCTGTGCGACGACGACGCATTGATGGCGTCAGCAAGGTGTTAATTCGTTCCCCCTCCCACTCCTGCTGCTCGGGCTTTTTAGGCTCGGCAATGTTCTCCTCGAATAATTTCAGCAATTCCATTTCATTTTTACAGCAACAGCGGCACATGCGAGGCAGCTCCGCGACGTCGTCGTCGTCGTCTTCATAATCAACAACGGCTGTTGTTTTCGATACTGGTGGTGGTGGTGTTGTTGTTGTTGTGGCTTCTGCTGCTGCTGTTGTGGTTTCTGTTTTTGCTGGCGGCGAAAGCGGCTGCTCTGGCTCCGGCTCTGGTTTTGACATTGTTGTTGTTGTTGTTGCTGCTGCGCCCGCTGCAGTTGCATTTTCTTGGCTTGTTTCCACATTATCCGTTTGCAATTGTTGTTGCTGCTGTTGTAGTATTCGCTGTAATTGCAAGCGACGGCTACTTTTGCTGCTTGTTGTGTTGTTGTTATTGTTGCTGTTGCTGCTATTGCGGCGTCGCTTGTTGGCACTCATTTTTATTGTTGCAATTTTTTTTTTTCACTGAATGCACTTTAATTTTATGAATACATGCACTTAAGACACTTATACACACCCAGATGCAGATACAGAAACGCGTGCGTTGTTCACTTTTATAAGTTGTTGATTCTTTCACTTTTCCCTATTCTCTCGCGTTTTTTTTTCCCTCAACTCTTTCACTTTGCACGACGGCCACACAACAACAAACTTGCACATTCGACAATTTGTATTCAGCTTGCGTTGTAGTTGTTGTTATTATTGCTGTTGCTGAGGCGCGATCACCTTTGTTTCTGCTTTTCACGCTGCCGTTGTTTTTATTTGTATTTCGATTTTATTTCATTTGTTGTTGTTGTTGCTGCTGTTGTGGTTGTTGGTTGGTTGGTTGCTGCGATTACGTCGCGCTTTCGTTGCGACGACACCGACGGCCGAGCGAGCGACTAAATTAACCGACGAAATCGCCTGACTGCCTGTGTGTGTGTGTATCAACCTAAAAAGTAGAATGAGGAAGAACGTCAGAGAAGAAAGAAATTGTACTTGTATTGTAACTAAAGCAACAACAAAAAAAGGGAAAACTGTGATTTGCGTGTGTGCGCGTGTTAGCATGACAAATTTTTTTTCAATTTATTTTTATACCAAGTACCCCAAACGTGAAAGGGTATACGAGTTCAGTAGAAACATACAAACACACATACATATGTGTGTGTGTCCTTGATCAACACATGACGAGATGTACCGAGATAAGTCGAAAACGCCAGGATCTTCTAAAATGTATTCTACCAACTCAAAGCAAGGACAATTTTATTTTCTCACTAGTGATGTCAGCTATAAAAAAAATGTTATGGCCATAAATGTCATCTCTGTCAGCAGCTCTTGTTCTTGTTGTAGCTGCTGCTGCACACATTAGCGTAGACACAAACCCGATGCGAATCTTAGCAATTAAAATAGGCGTTACACATTTTTGCTTTTATTTGTTTCACATTTTTATTACGAGTATTATTTTTGTTCAGTTAGTAACAGCAGGATTTCTAAGAGTCGGATGCGCTCGTTTCTAGCACTTCATTCTTGTTTTGTTTGCCTTCTTTGTAGGGCAATCGCGCGATTTGAAGATTTAGGCAGACAGACTGAGTGACAGACAGTGAGACGACGACGACAGACAGACACGAGTGCGCAACTTGTGCTTATTTTAGGCTCATTATTTAAACGAAATTCTGCATGCAATGCAAAACATACGTACGAACACACTTATAAATATGCATGTTTATTATTTATTTTGAGGTCAGGCCACTTGTAGTGACTATTGTGTGCATAATAAATCCCCAACACAAAGGCGCCAAAGCCGCTCTATTTGTTTGAGGTTCTTAATTTTGCACTAAATGGTCCGTCGCCCCTCTTCTTTTACGAATGCATCGCGTGCGTGGAGCCAATAGCGGGAGACCCCGATAGAAAATCGAATGTTATACAAACAATTTGTTAAATATTATTGCTTACGCCAAGTAAAAGCAACCAATGCAGCAACTAATTTATTGAGGTTAGTTTTTTTTTCTGTTTGCAAACCATCACTTAAAATTACTTTGGCCTTTAGTTGCAATTGCAGCAACAAGAAATGTCGCGTCAAGCGTCTACTTCTTGAAAGAGTAGCGGGAAAGAAAACAGAAACCAGAGCAAATCGCTTAGCGGCCGACCGTCGGCGACCGCTAATTTTTTAAATCAAACATACACATGCACACACACTCATACGTAATATATACGCTGAGACGCATACAAATTAATGGAAAATAAATTCACTACGCATTTGAGGCAATAACAACAACTTACACACACATACACAAATAACTACAAAAATTTGCTGAGCACTTCAAACGGCAACTAATTTTTTTTCTTGCTCAAATGTTGACTTTTTCTTTTTTACGTTGACCGAGAAAGCGAGCGAACGAGCGAACCGATTCGACCGAACTGCACGCGGCGTGTTGTGCTTTTAAACTGAAAATAAACCGCTGCTTGCTTTGGTCCCGCATGGTCTGCTAGTGTGCGTGTGTGTTTTACTAGTGATGGACGCGTGAGTGCCTGCCGAAAATACTCGAAATTTGACAAGATGTCGTTATACGAGGTTGCTGCCACAAAAACTACACATCTCTAGTGAGCGCCCAATCACCCATACTCCTAGTAAGGGGAGTCCTCATTGTATTTTCCAATAACATTTGGAAAAGATTTCATTAGAATTTTAATATCTGATTTTGTTTGTGAGATTATGTCCCTGTATTTGATAGTTCTGTTGTAGAGTTGAGCTGCCAAATCAAATTTTTAAACACAATCCGGAATGCTCTTGTGTGGTTTTTATTGACGATATGTAACGGTTGTCCAATAAGAATTAGCTCACGTTTATATTTGAGTGTGTGTGAGAATAGAGCGCAAGCGCTGGTTGAATTATAAGCGCATGGAGGGGGAAGTATGAATATTAAAAAAAAACACCATTCAGTGCGATGCAGACAAATATGTTAATTTTAAAGCATGGAGAAACCCGTTACATTGCAAAATAAATGCTTTTCAAGCGTAATATGAAATAAGCAAACAAACAAAAAATGAGTGCGCCGCCGCCGTCAAATTTGCCGGTACAATAGCTCAGCAAAATTTTGTTTGCGCGCTCATATTTCTCGCGCTTACCGTGCTCTGTTTTTGTTGCTTTTCGCTTTGCTCTGCAAATTCGTAATCTGTACGTTGCTAGCTACAACAACAATGCGGGGCGTCGTTTCCAAGTAAAAGGAAATAAGACGGCGTCGGGACGGGCAGACACAACGACAGAAAGAACAAGAACCATGTCTACGCCTAGCTATGTATATTATTTCAATTGTCCCCGATTATACACAAATTTATGGGGTCTTGTTTTTGAATGCCGTTGTTTTTTACTCACTTTCGATTTTTTGGGCCGCCGCCGCCACCAGAGTTCCGATGGAGGAACTGCGCTGGATGGCGGCACAATTTTAAAATTTTGCACTTCTTTCTCACTTTTATATCGTAACAAAAAATAGCAACAATAATAAATATATATATATTGAAATGTTTGTATTTTATTCGCACAAAAAAGAGCAGGATATTCTCTATACAAAAAATGCACAAAAGCAAAAGATGAGTAGATTGACAAGAATATATCGGTACGCCAATTAAAGTGTTACGATGTTATCGATGGCATTGACTCAGCCCAGCTGATATCTGCTAGTGTTGCAGTACTCGTGAAAACATTTCAGTGCATGTGGCAACGCTTTTTGGGAAATGCAAAACGTTTGCGTAAATTGACAATTTTATATTTGTTTTTTAAATCATGTCCATGCAGAATACAAAAATAATTGACCAGAAGAAATATTTGAAAAAATATCTGTCTGGCGATAAGGAGAAGAAGAAGAAAAAGAAGGAAAAAAAGGAAAAGAAAGCGCTAAAGAAGGTAAAAATAATTGACGACGACGCCTACGACGACATCAAGGAGGAAGTTGATGAGGATCTGCTGTTGGGTGGCGAAGATGCACCACAAATCGTTGGCGAATACATTGAGCACGATCTTAACATCAGAAGCAAGTGGCGCAACATAGCCGTAAAAGATGAGCCACAGGAAGATGAGCTGCGCGTTAAGTCGGAGGCGAAAGATGACGCCGATTTGTGGGGTAAGGCTGATCGCACCAAAATTAAAGACGAATTCTCGCCCAGCAGTAATCGACGGTTACGCACATCAAATAATTCACCACCCAGAACAACCAGGAGTGATTCCAGCCTTCCCGTAATAAAAATTAAGGAGGAGAAACGAAGCACTTCTCGCGAGGCAAGTCCTGAGCGTGATCTGTCACCGCCCCGTCGAAGAAGAGGTTCGGACTTAAGTCCACCAAGGCGCAAGCAGGAACCCGATTCCGACCTGTCCCCGCCTCGCAAACGCCGCGATTCAGATTTAAGTCCACCAAGACGACGACGTGAGCGAAATGCAGATCAATCTCCGCCTCGCAGAAGCCCCGCACGTAAACACCGGAAAGAAACGTCCCCCAGACGACACAAATTTCGCAGCCGAAGCCCAAGAGAACGGGATCAGAGTCCACGACGCAAACCACGACGTAGCGACTCCGCCAATCGATCTCCGCCACATCGCAGACGCAGTCGCGATCGCAGACAGGACCACTCTCCCGCACGACGCATAAAAAAAGAGGAACCATCACAAGCACGCAGGAGCCGCTGGGCCAGTAGAAGCCTTTCTCCACCGCCCACCCATAAGCCAAAGATTGAGCGCACGCTGGACGGCAAGAAGGCCGGACTGCAGAATGCCCAATCCCTTAAAGCCGAAACGGATGAGCGTCGCCGTCAGGAGCATCGTTTGTTTGAGCAAATGTCCAGCGAGGTGTCTGGTCGCGATGCCGAGGTGCAAATGCGCAGCACTGGGCGACGCGGCAAGCGCGCACGCGATGCAGCTGCTGAAGATCCTGCCGAGCGTCGTCGCAAGGAGGAGCACGAGCAAAAGAAGAAAGAACTATACGACCGCTGGGGCAAGGGAGTGAAGCAGGTGGAGGATCAGAAAGCACGCAATGCCGAGTTTCTGCACGAAGCGTCGAAGCCGGTAGCCCGCTATGCCAATGACGAGGACTTGGAGCAACATCTGCGCGCACGGGAGCATGCGGATGATCCCATGCTGGAATATATGCGTGAGAAGCGCAAAAAGCAGGAGAAGCAATCAAACAAACCCACAATGCCGGTATATGAAGGCAGTTATCCGGAAAATCGCTTCGGCATACGGCCTGGCTATCGTTGGGATGGTGTGGATCGCTCCAATGGATACGAGCAGCGCTGGTTTGACAAGCAGAATGCCAAACGGGCGGCACAGGATGAGGCCTACAAGTACAGCGTGGAGGATATGTAGGGGATTAGCTACAAATTTTACACTACTGTTTTCTACAAATGTTTTTAAGAAATAATTCTCAGCGCTAATTGTAATTTACTGCCTTATGCTGTAAGTCCTACAAACTAAATGATGTAAAGAAAAATTTTTTGTTTCTTGGTTTCAATAAAATTAAACAATGTATATATATGTTATACATTTTATTGTACACAGAGGTGAAAGCATAATATAATTCTAAATAGCTGTTCGAAATTTGTCCCCAATTGCGATTTTCAGTGGCTGTAATAATCACATTTCGTTGGAGTTGGTTGGTTTTCTGTTCGGCAAATAATTATTTGTCGATTAAACCTTACATTTAATATATTTAGAATTACAAAAACAGTGTCATTCGAATCAAAAATTCTAAATTGCCTTTTAATTTATTAAAATTTGTATTTATTTTGAAGGTACAAATAATGATTCCCTTTTATTTAGTATACGAGTTGTCTTTTAATTAAATGCTTTATTTTTCAGTTGCTTGCCTTATTTTATATATTTTCTTTACTTCATTTGTTGACGCTGTTCTATTTGTCTATTTTTCGTACCTTTTTTAAGGAAGTTTTTTAAAATATAAATAGGTTCTTTAAATGAATACGTTTAGCATGCAGACATTTTAATAGTTTCGTTTTAATTTAAGAATTCAAATAAGCATTGCTATTTGCTAGTAATGTTCCATTTTTTTCGTTCCAATGAGTATATCTGGAATGAGTATTTTATAGCGCAGACAAAATCTCGCTGCTATGTCACTTAACGTATATATTTAAACGTGTATATGTACATACTTGTAAGAAAAAGAGCAAACAAGTTCGCAATTTGTTGCCTTGATACATAATTTGACCTAATTCGATAACGGAAATATACCTGATGTGAAAATGTAGTGAAACAAATTCACAAAACTAATTGCTAATCAATTTCTTACAGATTTTGCTTTCTACGAAAATTAAAATGAATATGCATGTTTCTAATATACCTTTCTGCTATATGTTGACTTCTGAACTCAAAAAAATGCCAAGCACATGTACCTATTCTGTGAAAATAAAAAATTGAACCGAACCAATCAAATTCAAATACCGGAACATGAGCGCCTTATGGCGATATTTCTCAGCAGCGCACATCTAAAATCGATGGCTGTTGTGTTATCGATGGGCAACAACATGCTAGTCTGTGTGTAGAATAGCAGCGCAAAACGAAATGATGAAAACAGTGTTGAGATAACTGTGAATACTGTTCAATACACCTGCGAGTGCTCCGTGGTTACTTTTAAATAGTTTTAAATACTTCTAAAAACGAAATTGTATTTAAATTTCAATAATTTTCAAAGTTTAAAGTGTTCGACTTGTGTTGTGTTTAAACTGAACTAAGGTAAGTGGTTTAATCTTAAAGACTTCTATTATGAACGGACATTTTAGATTTGTGCTGTGTAAGCAATTTCTATACTAAGTATGAATGATGAATGTATGTATGTATGTATGTGTGTGTAAGTATGCGCTGCTTTGTTTGTTTTCACATCAGAATAGAATAAAGCATAACTACTAAGTGTAAAAATCATTCGCGTGTATGTACGTATTAGACAACAACACACCCCCGTTAATTTGCATTTAATTCAACCGCAGCCACACCAACAGTAGTAGTAGTAGTATTAGCCAACAACAACAACAAAGGCATAACAAAGCATAATAAAAACCCAAAAACGTGTTGTTGCTTGCATTCATTTTTTTCTTCTATTTTTATTCCACACACAAACACGCGATTTGCTTGTATGCACATTTATTGTGGTCATGCTGTGGTTGTAGTCGTTGTTGTTGTGCTGCTGCCCTTCGCCTTCACCATGGCAACCAGTCAGTTGTAAACCTGTTTGTTGTTATTCTTGTTGGAGGCGCTGCTGCAGTTTTTATTTTTTTTTTTGTGATTTCGCTTTATGCTACACTTTTAGCATGCATGTTGTTGTTGTTGCAACAAAATTGGCGCGAAAAGTTTTTCAGCTGCAAAATGTGTGCCAACAACACTCCACAAACACACCTTAATATCTACATACATATGTATGTATATGTGGATACATATACACGTATGTACATATGTACGCGAGTTTGTGGCTGTTGCATGCTGCATATTTTGCATAGACTCTCTTTCCTCTCTCCTTTAGCTGCTGTTGTACTCACCCTTCCCCCTACGTATCTACCCATCCCCCAGAACAGCCCACAGCTTGCGGACGCCTTTCATTCATGGCGTCTGTCCAGCCCCTCATTTCTTTGCTCCACTTTTCAAATGTTTGTTTGTTTTGTTTATATTTAATGCTTTGGCTTTTTTAATTGCTCTTTGTTTTTCTTCAACTTCTCAACACTCCTGTTGCTGTAATTGTTGTTGTTGTTTCTGTGCTTGACCATGAAAACGTGCTTTCAACTTTTCTCTTCAACACACACACACAGCCATATTGAAAACATGGGCTGTGGGCTGCCAGTTGGCTTTTGTTCAACTTTGACAGTCTAAGCAATACCCTACAGTGAAGCTACTCCGTTACTGTCCATCTGCGATTACAAGCACAATCGAGTACGCCCTTTAAAAACGATATGGCAAGCGGTCTCTGCTAATAGGATTTTCACACCAATTGTTCCATCCAGACCATTTGATTTTTATGGCTGGCCTGGCACACAGAACCATGTACATACTTGTAGTATGTCCAACTAAAAAATGTAAAAATGTTGCTTCCTCTTTGCAAGCAAACCATTTGTCAGAAAATTGAAATGAGCTATATTCCTTTATCATGGTACCTAGAAAGGATTTATGTCTTATAGTGACTATATATTGAATGTTACAGAAAATTTCAAAATTTTATTTTTGATTAAATTGGTCATGGGTTTTTCCTCTACAATTAAGGTGTTCGTATAAATTTTCTTGAATTGCATCGCACAACACCCGGAATAGGGACTTGTGTTTAAACTAACGTAACTCTATAATTAGACGTCGTTGTCAATAATGACACAAATATTGCTGTGTTGCCCCCGATATCCTATATCTGTCTTTGTAAGAGTACTTCTATTTTACAAAAACTTCTTTGTTTTCAACATATTGAAAGAAAAACAGTTTTAAAAAAAATATAATTGTATGTTTAGTTTGTAAATGAACGATCAATAATCAATATTCTTTGCTGGAAAACCTGTCTTTTTAAAGTTAGTTTGGAAAAACAACCTTATCTAGTTAATAATTTTTAAATTGCTCGTGAGCTGTAAGATTGAAAAACCAAAATAAATATAATGGTTTCACAAAACAAGTTTGAAGTGAATCGGATGAAAAATATAATTTTTCCATGCAAATTCGCAGCCCTTTTCCCCTATTGGAGTTGGAATTTTCCACAAACAGCAGTATTAACAACATTTATTGCCTTTGTTAGTCGTGTTAGAATAGTTTTTTGATCAACTTTGTAAACCTCCCGCAGTAATTGGCCAAATATTTTGTTATATACATTTTATTCAACCTAATCGGCTGTTCACTATAAGTATTTTTACCCCAAGGACCGCCATTTTTCTTGATCGCAGCGATCAGTGCCAGCATTTTCGCACGTGCTTTTAAAAATTGAAAAATTTTTTGGCCTTCGAATACCCCAAAAAATGTGGCGAGCAAGAAATTGAAATGCCAAGCACGCACCTTCATGACTCCCCTTCTCAGAACATTAATAACCAAGTTGTGTGCGTGAGCAACATCCCCCATGGCCTTCGACTGAATTGAATGCCTGTGTGTGTGTGTGTGAGTCATTCATTCATTCGTTCAGTCAGTCTGTCATTCATTCATTCTTTGCTTGCTGCTCGCCCCACACACGCTACAAAGCTCAACCCTTGATGAAGTCCTTCGCGTTTGAAAGTCTTTGCCAGCCTTGAAGATGATTTTAGGGTGCGCAGCAATATTTCTGCTTCCAAGGACCCACTGACATTGTAATGGCTTAGAAATTTACACGCATCTCGTGCTGTGTCCTGCTCTGCCTGCACCCCTTACTTGGGCGCTGCCCTTGCCAGGGCTGTCCTGCATCTCTGGCGGGGTTGATTTGCTTAGGTAATGCCGAAAAAATCTCCATTCTGCTTTCTGCTTGGTGACTTCTTTTTTATAAAGCGTTTTTTAATTCCTTTGCCTCAACACACAACACAACAAAACACAACATTGCTTTACATACTCGTACATTGTGGCGGGTTGCCTTTGTAGTCAGTCTTTGAAATGGCATTGTTCTAGTTTTGAATGAGATTTCGTTTTACTTGTATACACGTGGTTATGAGAATCGTCCTCATATGGTGGTTGTAAGGGAATTCGGGTGAGACTGGAATTGTGAGGATTCTAATAAGTTTGTCTTGCATCCCTCGTTTTGGTACTTGCTGGCTTTCCAATTGCAGATATTAATTCATTAATTTTTCTGCTCACCGACTTCATGTAGCGAAAATTCCCCCCCTCAGGTAAAATAAAGCAAAAGACATTTCCTCATTTCTCTGACCATCTGTTTCTCTCTGGGGTTTTCCGCCCAACTCTTGGAACAACAAAGAAAAGAAAAGTGCCTGCGGAAAACTAGTTTCATGTGGACCCCTCTTGAGGGCAATGCCTTGTAAATTGGAACCAGTTTTGCTAATTTGTGCACACGTGCAAATCTCGTAACTCGCCTAGACAATGGGTTCTGAGACAATAGATATAAAGGGAACCGGTAGCGCTGCCCTGCCAAAAAAAAAAAAAAATAAATAAAGAAAAGAAAGTTACAGCGCCTCCGGCTGCCGACACTGGAAATTAATGTTAATTTAAGGACAATTCGTCAAATTTCCAGAGTTCTTCAATTAGCTTTGACATTTGTCCAATGGACGGGAAAAAAATATGCCTGCAAGCGTCTCTTCTTCATTTATCATCCGCGTAATTAGGGGCTTGTTATGACACTCGGAATTCTCGTAAAAAGGTTGAACTCCGCCAGTTCAAAGTATCAAGAGCATATGGCATGACTAGGCACTATATATAAAAAGGCGTCAGAAGGTGAACTGAAGCTAAGAGGCAGTTATTCGGATCACGAAAGGTTAAGTTTCTAAGTATAAGGCTGACTTATAAGTACATGCTATATATAAATATCTAAATACAAAAAGAAAGTGATGAAAACTGTAAAGGCGGTACAAAAAGTGGGAAGCAA